AGTCCAACTTGTCAGCTCATGGGTGTTTCAAACCGCAAGATATTCTATTTCTTTTCTGCAGAATTGTGAGGCAAGAGCCAGAAGCTTGCTTCCTCTTTCCACTCTTTTATGCTGCCTAGCTCCTAATTATTTAATCTTTCAATGAGTTATTCACTTTGTATAGTTTGTAAAAAAATATAAAAAGTGATATAGATTCATTTCCTTAAGCCTATAGCTCCATTCTACTGATTTTCTTAATTGATTAACTGTTCCTCTAAAAAAAAATCTGCCTTTCCTCTATGCCCATAATGCAAGCCCCTCCAGCCTTTTTCTCCTCTTCCCCCTGTAGGAGTGTCTGTCATTTTAAACCCTCCACAATGGTCAGGGGCCAGGCCACATTACTTCCCTTCAAGCAATTCAGCTAAAGCATTTATTTAAGCATTTAATTAATTCTTGATATAAACCAAATGACTTCTTTGTCACCTTTCTAACTAATAACCTCCACTAGTTTTAAAAACACATTGCTTGTGAAATATTTCTGTGTGACTATACTTCTCCTTTCTTCTCGAGGCTGTCGGGGTGGGGTCTGCCATCTGTTTTCCTGTTCATCCGAGCAGTCTTGAGTATACTAGCTGCAGCAAAGCCTTTTTGTTCCTCTTTTCTGGTGTCCTTTTTTAGCCTTATAATCAGCATTCAATAATTGATCTCAAGTAACCTTTTTCATTGCCCTGATAAAGAGTATCTGAACAGAAATCTTTATTTTATTTCATTTATTACAAAAAGACCCCCGTTTAGACCCATCCTGGAATGCAGTTCAGGCCTCCATCTTTCTTCCCTTGTGAATGACCATCTTAATTAATTGTTTCCTCGTTTGTGGCACACTATAATTTACCAAGGTGTCCAAACAGTGATTTACCCTTTACTTACAAGCCAGAATTCCAGACTGGGGGTAAATTCCTGTCCCGTGATACTAGAATTTGGGGCGCACCCAATGAAGTTTATGGGCAGTGGATTAAGGACTGATAAAAGGAAGTGCTTCTTCACTCAACAGGGAATTATATTGTTGCATTTATTGCCAGTGGATGTGGTAATGGCCACAAATATGTGGTAATGGCTATAAAAGGAGGCTAGGCAGATTCATGGAGAAGTGGTCCATCAGTGGCTGCTAGCTATGGTGAATAAAGGGAGCCTCATTAATATTGAGAAGCAGTAAACCTCTGAGTACTAATGGTAGGAGGCAATGCCAGGGGAAAGCCTTGGCCTATTCACTATGGAACCCTATTAGTTGGCTCTCCAGAGCAAGTGCTCACTTGCTGTGTGAAACAGGATGCTGGACTAAGACTGAGCAGTGGTCTGGTCCAGCAGGGCCAGTTTGGTGTAGTGGTTAAGTGCACGGACTCTAATCGGGGAGAACCGGGTTTGATTCCCCACTCCTCCACTTGCACCTGCTGGATGACCTTGGGCAAGCCGTAGTTCTGGCACAGCTGTTCTTGAAAAAGAGCAGTTTCTGTCAGAGCTCTCTCAGCCCCACCTACCTTACAGGGTGTCTGTTGTGGGGAGGGGAAGGAAAAGGAGAGTGTAAGCCACTCTGAGACTCCTTTGGGTAGTGAAGGGCGGGGTATAAATCCAATCTCCTCCTCCTCCTCCTCCTCCTCTTCGTCTTCTTCTGTTCTTTTGTTGCTGGGGTTGAACCATGGGTCTTCCTTTAATTTCCCTTATCCACCTATAAAATGTCATGGCCTTTCATAACGTTATGCGGGGCTATTTTTGGGCAGGAACGCACAGGAACGGAGTTCCGGCTGGCTCCCAAGTTGGCCACACCCAGCAGTAGAAACTCATTAGGACTGGCTACATTAGGGGTGTGTGGCCTAACATGCAAAGGAGCTCCTGCAACAAAAAAAGCCCTGGGTTTTGACAACAAACAAGGTAAACAGAATAAGAAGCAAAAGGTGGGTGTGGCTGGATGACCACACTTCTGGTAGCATGGGAATGCAGCCTAATATGCTAATGAGTGGTGCAATCAGGGGTGTGGCCTAATATGCTAATGAGTTCCTGTTGTTGGGTGTGGCCTATTATGCTAATAGGTTCCTGCTGGACTTTTTCTACCAAAAAAGCCCTGACGTTATGTATGCAATATCTCATGCGGTGTTACCTATTTTTCTCTCTTTTAGCCGTCTGCAATTTTGGTGTATGTTTCAATGGTGGGAATTGTGTGGAAGGATCCCCACATATCTGCCACTGCCCTGCTGGTTTCCAAGGCCCCTGCTGCCAATATGGTGAGTACTCGCTTTACATTTCCCCTGTGCCTATTTCTTTTGAATGTAATTTTTTTTTTTACTTGCCTGGTACTGTCAAGGGTCACAAACCTTACACCCATTCATTCGCCATGGCTCTTCCCCAAAGAATCCTGGGAACTGTCGTTGGGCATGTGTGCACGGAGAATTCTCTGTCGCAGCTAGCTGCCCCTGTTAAGTGATAAACCAGTTTGTGGTTTAGCCACGTTCTTGGCCTTTCATAACTTGTGCTGTGTGTACAACCTGCTCGCAAATAAATGCCTTTTCTCTGGACAGAATAGCTTATGGAGCTTGCAGGACTGCGTGTTTCCTTAACTCTGCCTGTCTGCTCGATCCAAAGTTCGTGTTTTCAGACAATTTAAGTTGAGTAGAATGCACAAGTTTGTGGCATTTTTCCCCAGTGCATTTGTTGCTTCATGTGAATATGACCAGAAGAGAATATGCTTCACTGCCTCTTGGGTGACTCTCTACATCATGCAGCTAAGTTCTGTGAGGAAAGGGGAAAGCAGAAGTCCCCACTATGTCACCTTACAACACCTTTCCTGGTGCCCAACAAGTGTTTTTAGAGAGTGGGAAGGACTAGGAGAGGGTGTCTGATTGTCCACTGGAGATCTGATTGGCTGGGCAGACTAAAAGGCATCTTGCAGAGCTCCTGCTTTGAATGTTGAAAAGTTACTGTCAGAGTTATGCATAACCTTGCTTGATGACATTTTCTGGCTGGCTGCACCTCCTGCAGTAGCCATTTAGTTGTTGCGTCTACCACCCTGTCTCAGTATCCCAAAGGTCACTGCAGGCTCAAAAAGGCTGGGGATGCCTGGGGTAAAGGGAACTGGGTATCTTCAGCCTGGAGACAAAGAGTGACTGACACATGGAATTCACTGCCACATGAGGTGGTGGCAGCTACGAGCATGGACAGCTTCAAGAGGGAATTAGATAAGCATGTGGAGCAGAGGTCCATTGGCTATTAGCCACAAGGTATAGATAGGGACTGGGGCAAGTGATGCTCTGTGTTCTTGGTGCTTGGGGGGGCAACAGTGGGAGGGCTCCTAGTGTCCTGGCCCCACTGCTGGACCTCCTGATGGCACCTGGTATTTTTGGCCACTGTGTGACAGAATGTTGGACTGGATGGGCCTTTGGCCTGATCCAACATTGGCTCCTCTTATGTTCTTAAGATGGAGGAGAGATGTAATTGTGTTCTTTTGTTCATGATGGAAGACTTGTGTTCTGCTGCTCCAAAGGGGCAAGACTAATGACTTTAGCTACAGGAGGGGAGATTTCCGTTGAAATCTGTTGCCATGGACTCAGTCTCTTACTACTTACTCTGCTGACTTACTTAATAAGAATCCCAACAAAATCTCCTTAGGAGAAGTTTTCTAACGGTGAGAGCAGTTTGACAGTGGAACCAGTCACCTAGGAAGCTTATGGCCTTTCCCTCAACGGGAGGTCTTCAACCAGGGGCTATTAAGAATTCTCTAGGTCTGGATTTCTTGCACTGTGCAGGGGGTTGTCCTAGATAGTTACTGTTTCGACAAGACATTCTTCCCCCTCTCCCTCAAAATAGCAAAATCTGGGGTAGCAATTTAACTTGACAGGCATTCAAAACATAAGGAGTCCCTTGGTCAATAGGGACAGTTGGAATCTATGCTGTTTCTGAATATGAATCTTTAATAAATATTTTTTTTAAACTGGTATCTCCTACAATCTTATCGGTGGCCATCAAAAGCTAGCTGACATTTTGTTTTCCTGAAAGGTCTCATATTCTAAAATGTTTTTTTTTTGGGGGGGGGGGAGGACCAGTTCTAGCAATCCCCATTCAAGGAAAACAGAAGGATGGATCGGCTTCTAGCACAGACCCCGAGTATTTCATCCATATTTGGAAGGCAGGCGGGAGCTAGGCTGCCTTTTGTTAGATTTAATTGGTTTAGAACTGCTGGGAAATGTGTAATTAGCTCTCGACAGCA